GTCTCCGGCAAGGAGACACGGGGCCAGAGGTTGAGCTGATGCGCAGCGTACCGGACCGCAAACGGCCACAGAAAGTGGGGGGCAGCCGCATGGATCAAGGAGGTACGAGCGACCTCCATGACCAGGCCAATGCGGCGCTCCGCAACCCCATTCTGCTGTGGAGAGGCCGGAAGCGTGAACGACTGCTCAATGCCGTGCTCAGCACAGTAGGCTGCCAAGAGGTCGGAGGAGAACTCACCACCTCTGTCAGAGTGCAAGCGCAGGACAGGAAAGTCCGAGCGGAAACGCTCGCTGAGCTGGAGACGAGCTCTGCGGATCCAAGGGATCAAAACATCAGGGACCTCACCCTTGGCTCGCAAGGGGAAGACCGTGGTGTAGCGCGAGTAGTCGTCAACAACGATCAGGAAGTACCTCTCCTGACCCTGACCACGGACGCGGGCTGGGCCCCACACGTCCATGGGGAGCGTCTGCAAAGGAGCAGTCGTCGGGGGAAACGAGGAGGAGTGAGGAGCGGCGCGCTGCCGCCCCTCGACACAGGGAAGACAGGGAGGAGCAGGCGAGGGTGGGAGGGGAGGGAGGACTCTGGGAAGACCAGAGACAAGGTACCGGGAGTGCATGGCACGAAGGCGCTGCACAGACGGGTGGCCCAGTCGGTGGTGCCAGAGGACAGTCTCGTGCGCTAGAGAGCGACACGAGCAGGGGGCGGACAGCTGACCTGACGCGGACGCAGACGCAGACGCAGCGACCTGAGGGGGGGCAGTAGTCAGTGTGTACAGATCCGACCCCGGCTGCCGGGTGAAGGTAGCCAAGTGGCGGCCTGTACGGGCACACGTGCAGTGTGTGACACGCTCGTAGGCAGGGGTGAACTGGTGAACACCCGCGTCCTGTAGTGCACAAACTGCCACCAAGTTCGTAGAGAACGAGGGGAGGTGGAGACCTGACAGTGTGCCCGACGGGACCGCAGGACAGGGAAGGACAGTGGAGGAGGTCGCAAGGACCGGACCCCCAGAGGGGTCAGCGAGGGAGACAGCAACTGGCCGAGCAAGGGGCTCAAGGGCAGTGCGGTCACGAAAGAAACAGCGAGAGGCACCTGAATCCAGTGTGAAGGTGTGCAGTGCTGCAGTCGACACAGTACTAGGGGGGGCAGACGTACACGCACCTAGAGCAGCAGCCTCACCAGCACCTGGGGTAGCGGACACGCGAGTACCTGGAGCGGCAGACGCACTAGTCCTAATGCCCGGGTCGGGCGGGACACTCAGGTACTCAGCACCCTCTCCACTAGTAGACATCACATACATGGCAGTGAGAATAGCATCAAAGTCTAGAGCATAAATATCAATCCCCTTCTTCAGGAGATCAACCCAGCGGGGCAGCTCAGTGGCCTGAGGGAACTGAACACGCCAAGCGTCGTTCAGACGAGCAAAGCAACGCTGTGTGGCGTGCGGTCCCCCACACGGCTGGCCAGTGAGGTCACCAGTGCGAATGACGTACGTGCAGCTAAGGCCACCCCCCCCCCCCCCCCCCCCCGTGCTGAGAGTACCACTCACGGACCTCTTGGGGCGACGGAGTGTGCTGCTGGCCCTGGCCACCGCCAGCGCCTCCACGACCACCACCGCCGCTACCACCTCCTCGACCACCCCAACCCCGGCCGCTGCCCCGTCCACCGCCACCCCCACCACCTCCTCCGCCCCGGCCACCTCCCCCGCCGCTGCCGCCACCCCCCCCACTGCTGCCACCTCCCCCACCCGCGCCACCCCCCCCGCCACCACCACCTCCCCCACCACCGCCACCCCCGCTGTCACCACCACCGCCCTTGTCCCCCTTGCCCTTGCCGCTGCGGCGCCCACTCGAAGCAGACGCAGTCCCGACCTTCTCAGCACCAAGGAGGTCGACAGCAGCAGCAGAGGCGACAGAGGGAAGAAGGGGGGAGGGAGAACACCCCTCAAAGAACGGGGTACGGGGGTCACCGCGAGAGGCACCTATAACGACTATGCTAGCCTCAGCTGCAAGCAGTTCCTTCTCGAGGAGGGCAATGGTTAGCTCGGTGGGGCAGCGAGCTAGGAAGTGGTCCCTGACTGAGCGCAGAGTGTCAGGGAGGCGCGTGACTAGGTGGTAGAGAGTGAGCCAGAGCGGGGGTGGGTTCTTGGCAAGGAACTCATCAGGCATAGCGGCGCGGAAGCGAGCCTCACTAGTGCGGAGGTGGGTAATGAGATCAGCGACAGTGTGGAAGGAAGCTAGGTCGGGGAACAGGTAGGGAAGAGAGAGACGGCCTAGAGCGGCAGAGGCCGGCGAGGAGTAGCGGGCAACGACAGCAGTGTACAGTGCCTGTGCAGTCTTGTGCTGCCCAAAGTGCTCGCGCTCATCTATCGGCAGAGAGTTGCGAATAGCGAAGCGAGTATGGGCGTCACGAGTCTGCCACTATGAGCGGGCAGTGCTGTCAGCAGTAGCAGCAGGAGCAGTAGCGTGGCCTAAGGCATGATCGTACAGCGAGATGTCTTCCTTGGCAGTGAGCTGTAGGAAGAGGTGTAGGTCATCAAGCCAGGTGTCGAACTTCACTGGGCGGCCCTCAGTATCGAAGGCTAGGACAGGAGGGCTAGCCATGGTAGCAGCAGTAGGAAAAGCAGTAGGAGCAGTAGGCTAGGTAGGGTGGCGCGGCTCGGTACAGGTAGGGCGGCGCGGCTCGGTATAGGTAGGGCGGCGCGGCTCGGGTCGGGCGGCGCGGCTCAGTTCGGGCGGCTCGGGTCGGGCGGCGCGGCTCGGTTCGGGCGGCTCGGTTCGGGCGGCGCGGCTCGGTTCGGGCGGCTCGGATCGGTTAGGGCTGGCGGCTCGGGTCGGCTCGGTTCGGGCTGCTCGGTCTGGGTGGGGCCGTTCGGGGCCGCTAAGGGCGAGCGCGGGGAGCGGGTGGGGCCGTGAGGGACGAGCGCGGGGCCGACGTGGGTGCTAAGGGCGAGCGCGGGGCCGACGTGGGTGCTAAGGGCGAGCGCGGGGCCTATCAGGGCCGTGAGGGACGAGCGCGGGGCCGATCGGGGCCGTAAGGGACGAGCGCGGGGACGACGTGGGCCTCTAAGGGCGAGCGCGGGGCCTATCAGGGCCGTGAGGGACGAGCGCGGGGCCGATCGGGGCCGGTAAGGACGAGCGCGGGGCCGACGCGGGCCTCTAGGGGTAAGCGCGGGGCCGATTCGGGGCCTCTAAAAGCGAGCGCGGGGCCGACCGAGGCCTCTAGGTGCGAGAGCGCGGGGCCGACGGGGCCTCTAGGGGCGTGAAAGCCGAGGCGCCCTAGGGCGCAGGTAGGTAGGTAGGTAGTGGTGGGCCCTAAAAAAAAATCGGTCCTAGGAAGGACCTGCTCTATACCATGTTGAACAAGAATGAACTAAGAGTGAAATGAGTAGAAGTATGAAAACCTAGGAATGTGTACCCCCTATAGGCTAACCCACTGTAGCCTAAACAACTACAACAACATATATAATGTTTGACAGTTTGTGAGGCGCAGGTTGGGAGAAGGTGCATGTGAAAGGGAGACGTTTAGGGGGAAGATGTTTGGGGGGCGCAGGTTGGGAGAAGGTGTGTGGTAAGGGGAGACGTTTACACGGGAGACGTTTGGGAGGCGCAGGTTCAAAGAAGGTGCGTGTGAAGGGGAGTCGTTTAGGGGGAAGACGTTTGTGGCGCGCAGGTTCGGAGAAGGAGCGTGTGAAGGAAAGACGTTTAGGGGGGAGACGTTTGTGCGGCGCAGGTTGGGAAAAGGTGCGTGTGAAGGGGAGACGTTTAGGGGGGAGACGTTTGTGGGGCACAGGTTGGGAGAAGGTGCGTGTAAAGGGGAGACGTTTAGGGGGGAGACGTTTGGGGGTCGCAAGTTGGGAGAAGGTGCGTGTGAAAGGGAGACGTTAAGGAGGGAGACGTTTGTGGGGCGCAGCTTCGGAGAAGGTGCGTGTGAAGGGGAGACGTTTAGGCGGGAGACGTTTGTGGGGCGCAGCTTCGGAGAAGGTGCGTGTGAAGGGGAGACGTTTAGGCGGGAGATGTTTGCGAGGCGCAGGTTGGGAGAAGGTGAGTGTGAAGGGGTGACGTATAGGGGGGAGACGTTTGTGGGGCGCAAGTTGGGAGAAGGTGCATGTGAAGGGGTCACGTTTAGGTGGGAGACGTTTGTGGGGCACATATTGGGAGAAGGTGCGTGTGAAAGGGAGACGTTCAGGGGGGAGACGTGTGTGGGGCGCACGTTGGGAGAAGGTGCGTGTGAAGGGGAGACGTTTCGCAGAATGTGCGTATGAAGGGGAGACGTTCAGGGGGGAGACGTTTTTGGCGCGTAGGTTGGGAGAAGGTGCGTGTGAAGGGGAGACGTTGAGGGGGGACGTTTGTGGGGCGCAGGTTGGGAGAAGGTGCGTGTGAAGGGGAGACGTTGAGGGGGCAAATGTTTGTGGGGCGCAGGTTGGGAGAAGGTGCGTGTGAAGGGGATATGTTTACGGGGGGGGACATTTGTGGGGCGCAGGTTGGGAGAAGGTGCGTGTGAAGGGATACGTTTAGGGGGGAGACGTTTCTAGGGCGCAGGTAAGGAGAAGGTGCGTGTGAAGGGGAGACGTTTAGGGGGGAGACGTTTGGGGGTCGCAGGTTGGGAGAAGGTGCGTGTGAAGGGGAGACGTTCAGAGGGGAGACGTTTGTGGGGCGCAGATTGGGAGAAGGTGCGTGTGAAGGAGAGACGTTTAGGGGGGAGATGTTTGTGGGGCGCAGGTTGGGAGAAGGTGCGTGTGAAGGGGAGACGTTTAGAGAGGAGACGTTTGTGGTGCGCAGGTTGGGAGAAGTTGCGTGTGAAGGGAAGATGTTTAGGGGGGAGACGTTTGTGGCACACAGGTTGGGAGGAGCATGTGAAGGGGAGACGTTTAGGAGGGAGATGTTTGTGGGGCACAGGTTGGGAGAAGGTGCGTGTGAAGGGAAACGTTTAGGGGGGAGATGTTTGTGGGGGGCGCAGGTTGGGAGAAGGTGCGTGTGAAGGGGAGACGTGTAGGGGGGAGATGTTTGTGGGGCGCAGGTTGGGAGAAGGTGCGTGTCAAGGGGAGACGTTTAGGGGGGAGACGTTTGTGAGACACAGGTTGGGAGAAGGTGCATATGAAGGGGAGATGTTTAGGGGGGAGACGTTTGGGGGGCGCAGGTTGGGAGAAGGTGCATCTGAAGAGGAGACGTTTACGGGGGAGACGTTTGGGAGGCGCAGGTTCGAAGAAGATGCGTGTGAAGGGGAGTCGTTTAGGGGGAAGACGTTTGTGGCGCGTATGTTCGGAGAAGGAGCGTGTGAAGGGGAGACGTTTAGGGGGGAGACGTTTGTGGGGTGTAGGTTGGGAGAAGGTGCGTGTGAAAGGGAGACGTTTAGGGGGAGACGGTTGTGGGGCGCTGGTTGGGAGAAGCTGCATGTGATGGGGAGACGATTAGGGGGGAGACGTTTGGGGGGCGCAGGTTGGGAGAAGGTGCGTGTGAAGGGGAGACGTTTAGGGGGGAGACTTTTGGGGGTCGCAGGTTGGGAGAAGGTGCGTGTGAAGGGGAGACGTTTAAGGGGGAGACGTTTGTGGGGCGCAGGTTGGGAGAAGGTGCGTGTGAAGGGGTGACATATAGGGGGGAGATGTTTGTGGGGCGCAAGTTGGGAGAAGATGCGTGTGAAGGGGAGACGTATAGGTGGGAGACGTTTGTGGGGCACAGGTTGGGAAAAGGTGCGTGTGAAAGGGAGACGTTCCGGGGGGAGACGTTTGTGAGGCGCTGGTTGGGAGAAGGTGCGTGTGAAAGGGAGACGTTTAGGGGGGAGACGTTTGTGGGGCGTTGGTTCGGAGAATGTGCGTGGAAGGAGAGACGTTTCAAGCGCGCAGGTTCAGAGAAGGTGCGTGTGAAGGGGAGACGTTTAGGGGGAGACATTTGTGGGGCGCAGGTTGGGAGAAGGTGCGTGTGAAGGGGAGACGTTTAGGGGGAGACGTTTGTGGGGCGCAGGTTTGGAGAAGGTGCGTGTGAAGGGGAGACGCTTAGGGGGGAGACGTTTGTGGGGCGCAGGTTCGGGGAAGGTGCGTGTGATGGGGAGACGTTTAGGGGGGAGACGTTTGTGGGGCCCAGGTTCAGAAAAGGTGCGTGTGAATGGGAGACGATTAGGGGGGAGACGTTTATGGGGCTTAGGTTGGGAGAAGATGCGTGTGAAAGGGAGACGTTTTAGGGGGGAGACGTTTGTGGGGCGCAGGTTGGAAGAAGGTGCGTGTAAAGGGCAGACGTTTAGGGGGGAGACATTTGTGGGGCGCAGGTTCGGAGAAGGTGCGTGTGAATGGGAGACGTTTAGGGGGGAGACGTTTGTGTAGCGCAGGTTCGGGGAAGGTGTGTGTGAAGGGGAGACGTTTAGGAGGGAGACGTTTGTGGGGCGCAGGTTCGGAGAAGGTGCGTGTGAAGGGGAGACGTTTAGGGGGGAGACATTTGTGGGGCGCAGGTGGGGAGAAAATGCATGTGGAGGGGAGATGTTTGTGGGGCGCAATTTGGGAGAAGGTGCGTGTGAAGGGGAGACGTTCAGGGGGGAGACGTTTGTGGGGCGCAGGTTGGGAGAATGTGCGTGTGAAAGAGAGACGTTCAGGGGGGAGACGTTTGTGGGGCGCAGGTTCGGAGTATGTGCGTATGAAGAGGAGATGTTTAGGGAGGAGACTTTCGTGGGGCGCAGGTTTGGAGAAGGTGCGTGTGAAGGGGAGATGTCTAGGGGGGAGACGTTTGTGGGGCACAGGTTGGGAGAAGGTGCATATGAAAGGGAGACATTTGTTGGGCGCAAGTTGGGAGAAGGTGCGTGTGAAGGGGAGACGTTTAGGGCGGAGACGTTTGTGGGGCTCAGGTTGGGAGAAGGTGCGTGTGAAGGGGAGACGTTTGTGGGGCGCAGGTTCGGAGAAGGTGCGTGTGAATGGGAGACATTTAGGGGGGAGACGTTTGTGGGGCGCAGGTGGGGAGAAAATGCGTCTAGAGGGGAGACGGTTGTGGGGCGCAAGTTGGGAGAAGGTGCGTGTGAAGGGGAGACGTTCAGGGGGGAGACGTTTGTGGCGCGCAGGTTGGGAGAAGGTGCGTGTGAAAGAGAGACGTTCAGGGGGGAGACGTTTGTGGGGCGCAGGTTCGGAGAATGTGCATATGAAGAGGAGACGTTTAGGGGGGAGACTTTTGTGAGGCGTAGGTTCGGAGAAGGTGCGTGTGAAGGGGAGATGTTTAGGGGGGAGACGTTTGTGGGGCGCAGGTTGGGAGAAGGTGCATATGAAGGGGAGACATTTGTTGGGCGCAAGTTGGGAGAAGGTGCATGTGAAGGGGAGACGTTTAGGAGGGAGACGTTTGTGGGGCGCAGGTTCGGAGAATGTGCGTGTGAAGGGGAGACGTTTAGGGGGGAGACGTTTCTGGCACGTAGGTTCGAAGAAGATGCATGGGGCGCAAGTTGGGAGAAGGTGCGTGTGAAGGGGAGACGTTTAGGGGGGAGACGTTTGTGGCGCGCAGGTTCGGAGAAGGTGCGTGTGAAGGGAAGTCGTTTAAGGGGGAGACATTTGTGGCGCACAGGTTCGGAGAAGGTGCGTGTGAAGGGGAGACGTTTAGGGTGGAAACGATTTTGGCGCGCAGGTTCGGAGAAAGGGCGTGTGAAGGGGAGACGTTTAGGGGGGAGATGTTTGTGGGGCGCAGGATCGGAGAAGGTACGTGTTGAGGGGAGATATTTTGGGGGGAGACGTTTGTGGGTCGTAGGTTCGGAGAAGGTGCGTGTGAAGGGTAGATGTTCAGGGGGGAGACGTTCGGGGGCGCATGTTGGGAGAAGGTGCATGTGAAGGGGAGACGTTTGTGGGGCGAAGGTTGGGAGAAGGTGCGTGTGAAGGGGAGACGTTTAGGGGGGAGACGTTTGTGGGGCGCAGGTTCGGAGAAGGTGCGTCTGAAGGGGAGACGTTTAGGGGGGAGACGGTTCTGGCGCGCAGGTTCGTAGAAGGTGCATGGGGCGCAGGTTGGGAGAAGGTGCGTGTGAAAGGGAGTCGTTTAGGGGGGAGACATTTGTGGCGCGCAGGTTCGGAGAAGTTGCATGTAAAGGGGAGACGTTTAGGGTGGAGACGTTTGTCGCGCGCAGGTTCGAAGAAAGGGCGTGTGAAGGGGAGACGTTCAGGGGGGAGACGTTTGTGGGGCGCAGGTTCGGAGAAGGTACGTGTTGAGGGGAGACATTTAAGGGGAGACGTTTGTGGGGCGTAGATTCGGAGAAGGTGCGTGTGAAGGGTAGATGTTCAGGGGGGAGACGTTTGGGGGTCACATGTTGGGAGAAGGTGCGTGTGAAGGAGAGACGTTTGTGGGGCGCAGGTTGGGAGAAGCTGCGTGTGAATGGGAGACGTTTAGGGGGGAGACATTTGTGGGGCATAAGTTCGGAGAAGGTGCGTGTGAAAGGGAGACGTTTTGGAGGGAGACGTTTGTGGGGCGCAGGTTCGGAGAAGGTGCGTGTGAAGGGTAGACGTTTAGGGGGGAGGCGTTTGTGGGGCGCAGGTTGGGAGAATATGCGTATGGAGGGGAGAACTTTGTGGGGCTCAAGTTGGGAGAAGGTGGGTGTGAAGGGGAGACGTTTAGTGGGGAGACGTTTGTGGAGCGCAGGTTCGGAGAAGGTACGTGTGAATGGGAGACGTTCAGGGGGGAGACATTTGTGGGGCATAAGTTCGGAGAAGGTGCGTGTGAAAGGGAGACGTTTTGGAGGGAGACGTTTGTGGGGCGCAGATTCGGAGAAGGTGCGTGTGAAGGGTAGACGTTTAGGGGGGAGACGTTTGTGGGGCGCAGGTTGGGAGAATATGCGTATGGAGGGGAGAACTTTGTGGGGCGCAAGTTGGGAGAAGGTGGGTGTGAAGGGGAGACGTTTAGGGGGGAGACGTTTGTGGAGCGCATGTTCGGAGAAGGTGCGTGTGAATGGGAGACGTTCAGGGGGGAGACATTTGTGGGGCATAAGTTCGGAGAAGGTGCATGTGAAAGGGAGACGTTTTGGAGGGAGACATTTGTGGGGCGCAGATTCGGAGAAGGTGCGTTTGAAGGGTAGACGTTTAGGGGGGAGACGTTTGTGGGGCGCAGGTTTGGAGAATATGCGTATGGAGGGGAGAACTTTGTGGGGCGCAAGTTGTGAGAATGTGCGTGTGAAGGGGAGACGTTTAGGGGGGAGACGTTTGTGGGGCGCAGGTTCGGAGAAGGTGCGTGTGAAGGGGAGACGTTTAGGGGGGAGATGTTTCTGGCGCGCAGGTTCGGAGAAGGTGCGTGTGAAGGGGAGACATTTAGGGGGGAGACGTTTGTGGCGCGCAGAATCGGAGAAGGTGCGTGTGAAGGGGAGTCGTTTCGGGGGGAGACATTTGTGGCGCGCAGGTTCGGAGAAGGTGCGTGTGAAGGGGAGACGTTTAGGGTGGAAACCTTTGTGGCGCGCAGGTTCGGAGAAGGTACGTGTTGAGGGGAGACATTTAGGGGGAGACTTTTGTGGGGCGTAGGTTCGGAGAAGGTGCGTGTGAAGGGTAGATGTTGTGAGAAAAGAGGGATGAATGAACAAACACAAGGTTGGGTACAAGTAGGAAACCCTAAGAAACTGTACCCCATAGTGTCTACCCCACTATAGCCTAGACAAGCTATATGATATAAGTTTGACACACCCCCATAGGCAAAGTGGGGGAGAACAAGAGGTCACAAGACCAGTCAAGCAAAGCAAAGCAAGCTCAGGGTGGATCACAACGTCACCACACAATCCGAGCACAAGAGCAAGGCCACAAGGCCAGTTCACATGCAAGATCATATATAAAGATAAACAGGCAAGTGCAGGTATAGAAAGATCACAGTACAAGCAAGGTCAAGAAGTGAGCAATTGAGGCCAAGTAGGCACAAGACCTAGCATAGTACAGAAGCACTGATGATCACCAGGCGGAAGTGCCTTGGTAAAGATATCAGTAGTGTTGGCCTCAGAGGCCATGTAAGCAAGGCGCAGCTGACCACGCTGCTGCAACTCACGAGCAAGGAAGTAGCGGAGAGCAATGTGCTTCGTTCTGTGCTCCAGTCTGTGCTTCCGACACAAGGCCAACATGGCCTTGTTATCTATGTACAGAACTGGAGGAGAACGAGGCGGCTCTCCTAGGTCAGTCAGCAGGTAGGTGAGCCAGCGTAGCTCCTGTGCAGCCATGGCCCCCGCGTAGATCTCAGCCTCACAGCTGGAGCCGAGAACAGAAGACGAGCGGGTAGACCGCCACGAAATAGAGCCGGAGCCAAGGCTGAAGGTGTAACCCTGTGACGACCGCTGCGTAGCCTGGTCGTCAGCCCAAGAAGCGTCTGCGTGACCTGTGAGGACCACTCGACGTCGCCCTCCAAGCACTAGCCCCATGCCCGATGTACTGCACAAGTAGCGCAACACCCTCTTTGCTGCAGCCATGTGCTCTGGTCGGTGTCTCCCAGGAGCAACATAGCGTGCCAAGATGCTAAGAGGGTATGCAAGGTCAGGTCGTGTGCAGGTCATCAGGTACATAAGGCAGCCAACAAGCTCTGGGTACGGGCCACTCGGCTCTACGGACTCATCCGAAGGCAGAGCTGAGAGCGAGTGGCGAGTAGATAGAGGAGTGGCCTGAGGCGAGGAGTACGTGAAGTCGAAGCGCTGAAGGACCTGCTGCACCATGTGTGACTGAGTCAGGGTAATGGTGCGCTGTGTCCTGTCCCGGGTGATCTGCAAGCCAAGGTAGCTGCGCAGTTCACCCAGGTCTGTGCACGTGTGTCTCTTCTGCAGCTCGAACTTCATGTGGGCGAGTCCAGCAGTGTCAGCAGTGGCAAAGACCAAGTCGTCGACGTACACGAGGATGTAGAACGGCGGCAAAGAGGTGTCGGTGCGCAGAAACAGCGACGGGTTGGCTGTAGAAGGAGCAAACCCAAGAGCCGCAAGTGTAGTCCTCAGTGTGTCGTGCCACTCACGGGGCGCCTGGCGGAGACCGTAGACTGGCCGCCGGAGGCTCCACTGGGTACCAGGAGGAAACGACCCAGTGAAGCCAGGTGGGCGGCGCAGCCTGATCTCCTCGTGCAGGCTGCCCTGCAGGAAAGCTGTGCTGAAGTCAAGAGAGTGAAGCTCGTAGTCGCACTGAGCGGCTATGTGCAGCAGCACTCGAAGAGTGGTCATCTTCGGGGTGGGAGAGAAGGTCTGAAAGTAGTCAACTCCCTGCTGCTGACTGAAGCCTCGAGCCACGTAACGCGCCTTGAAGACAGGCGGAGAACCCGGCGGTCGCTTCACCCTGAAAATCCACATGCCACTGACGATGTTCGCCCCAGGTGGGGGAACCTCGTCGACGTAGGTGCCTGTGGACTTCCAGGAAGCCATCTCTGCGTCCATGGCTGACTGCCACTGAGAGGAGTAGGGACCCTCGATCTCCTCAGCGTACGATCGAGGAGTCGGGATGTCTGGTGCATCCGGGTCTCCCTCAGGGGCAATCAGCGTGGACACGAGATGAGGCAACGCAGTAGCAAAACACTGAAACTCCTCCTGCCTGTCCTCAAGGACGTCCGTGCTAAGAGCACACTCACCCCCGACGGACGGAGGACAGACAGACTCAGACTCAGCTACAAGAGTAGCAGCGTAGTCTAGACGACAGCGAGCAGCAAAGTCGACAAGCTCAGCAACTAGGGCCGACGCAGCAGTGGACTCAAAGGAAGGGTCAGTGACAACAGTAGCCAGGAGACGCGTGACAGTAGGACTGGCAGCACGAAGAGAGTTAGACTCCGGGTCAGCAAGAACAGGAAGAGAGGACTCTGGAGGAGACGGCAACGGGACACGCTGAGGAGCAGTGGAAGGACGCAGTGCCATCTGGTGTGTGCCTGGGACCACAGGAGGACGCGGACGCGGAGCACGACGACTAGTGCGAGCAGCACGAACAGGCGACCCAGGACGAGACGCAGGCTCACGACGCTCAGCAAGACCTCCAGTAGGACCAGTGTAGGGAGAAGGTGTAGGTAGGGGGGAGGCGGGCTGTAACTGTGACTGCGACTAGACAGGCTGTAGGCACTCTAAAGGAGGAGCAGGACCCGTAGAGGGCAGGAGACCAAGAACCTGCTCAAGGAGCGGAACGAAGTACGGCCGCGGCCGCGCAGCGCCTCCAGAACCAGCAGGGACAGCACCAGTACTCCCAGCGGCAGCACCTCCAGCTCCAACAGCGCCAACTCCAGCACCCTCAGACGCACCAGCGCCAGCAGAACCACCAGCGCCAACACCCTCAGCAGCTCCAGCTCTAGCAGCTCCAGCAGCACCAACTCCAGCAGGACCGGCAGCTCCAGTACCGCCAGCAGCTCCAGCAGTACCTCCAGCAGGACCAACTCCAGCAGCCCCAGCAGCACCCCCAGTCCCAGCAGCTCCAGTACCGCCAGTATGAGTACCTCCGGGACCAGCAGCAACAGTAGTACCTCCAACTCCAGCAGCTTGACTCCAGTGCCGGGCAAACCACTCGCGCAGCTCCTGCGGAGAGAGTGGCTCCTGCCTCGACGAAGCATTGCAAGAGGCCACACGAGCACACCCACCACCCCCAGGCTCCGCACCCCCAGGCTCAGCAACCCCAGGCTCAGCACCCCCAGACTCAGCACCCCCAGGCTCAGCACCCCCAGGCTCCGCACCCCTGGACTCAGCACCCCTAGGCTCCGCACCCTCAGGCTCAGCACCTCCAGAACCGGCACCCGCACGCTCAGCACCTCTAGCAGCACCAGAGTCAACAGCTACCTCGACAGGCTCGACTGCGTCTACCTGGGACACACCTGACGGGGCAGGACCCTGAGGTGGGAGGGGGTCTACCGGGGGAGGACCTGGCGCAAAGAAGAGCGGCGGCGGGGGAAGGGGCGCAGTGCGGTAGGGGAAGAGACGGTAGTAAGGCACCGACTCGTCAAAGGTGACGTCCTGGGAGGACAGAACACGGCGCGAGGTGGGGTGGTAAAACTGCCAACCAGGCGCGTCAGGGGGGAAGCCAAGGAAGACGCAGGGAACAGCACGAGGGGACTGCTTGTCCGCAGACAAGTCGCGGACAAACGGCCGAGATCCCCAGACCTGAAACGCAGACGCATCGCCAACCTTCCCGGTCCACCGCAAGATGGGGGAGGTCTCTGGCAAGGAGACCCGGGGCTGAAGGTTGAGCTGATGCGCTGCGTACTGAACCGCAAACGGCCACAGAAAATGGGGGGCAGCCGCATGGATCATGGACGTACGAGCGACGTCCATGACCATGCCAATGCGGCGCTCAGCAATCCCATTTTGCTGTGGAGAGGCCGGAAGCGTGAAGGTCTGGCGGATGCCCTGTGCTCGACAGAAGGCTCCCAGAAGGGCAGAGGAAAACTCCCCACCTCTGTCAGAGTGCAGACGTAGAACATGAAAGTCCGAGCCGAAACTCTCTCTGAGTTGGAGACGAGTTGCGCGGATCCAGTCGATCAACACTTCAGTGACGTCACCCTTGCTACGCAAAGGGAAGAGTGTGGTGTAACGCGAGTAGTCGTCAACCACCAACAGGAAGTAACGCTCGTGCCCTTGTCCACGGACGCGGGCGGGGCCCCACACGTCCATGTGAAGAGTCTGCAGCGGAGCCTCTGTCGGAGGAAACTCGGAGGAGTGAGGGGCGGCGCGCTGTCGCCCCTCGACGCAGGGGACGCAGGTAGGGGCAGGCCCCGGAGGTAGGGGAGGGAGGGACCGGGGGAGACCAGAGACAAGGACACGGGAGGCCATGCCTCGGAGACGAGGCAGGGAGGGGTGACCATGGCGGTGGTGCCAAAGGAGAGTCTGGTGGGACAGGAGACGACACGAGCAGGGAGCCGACTCAGGACCAGACCTGGACGCTGCAGCAAACACCTGACTCGACGCAGCTACCTGACCAGACTTAGCAGCCGGAGGAGACTCAGTAGTAAGTGTGTACAGGCTCGACCCCGGCCGACGGGTGAACGTGGCCAAGTGTCGGCCTGTCCGAGCACACGTGCAGTGGGTCACCCGCTGACTCGCAGGAGTGAACTGGTCAACCCTCTATCCTGTAGATCAGCTCCACTCACCAAGTTCGTAGAGAACGAGGGGAGGTAGAGACGTGACAGGGTGCCAGAGGGGGCTGTCGGGCACGGTAAGACAGTAAAGAAGCTAGCAAGGACAGGACCCCCAGAGGGGTCCGCCAGGGAGATTGCCACCGGCCGACTAAGCGGCGTAAGCGTGGTGCAGTCTTGAAAGAAGGAGCGGGAAGCACCCGAGTCAAGGGTGAAGGTGTGTAAGGCCTGAGCCGACGTATTACCTGAGAGAGCAGACTCACCAGCACCTGGGGCAGCAGACGCACTAGCACCTAGAGCAGCAGCCTCACCAGTACCTAGAGCAGCAGCCTCAATGCCCGGGTCTGGCGGAACACACAGGTAATAGTCACCCTCAACACTATCAGACACAACATACATGGCAGCAAGAATAGCATCATAATCAAGATCAAAGATAGCAACCCCCGCCCTAGACAGCTCTCCCCAGCGAGGGATCTCAGTGGCGTCGGGGAACTGGTGACGCCACGCGTCCGTCAGGCGGCCGAAGCAGCGCTGGGTGGAGTGCGGGCCCCCGTACTGCTCACCAGCGCGGTCGCCGGTACGGAGGACGTAGGTACAGGGACCAGTACCCCCACCGCGCTGACGCGCAGCATACCACTCACGAAGGTGCTGAGGGGACAGGGTCTCACGACTGCGCTGCTGCTGCTGGCGCGGACCACCACCGGAGCCACTCTTCTGCGCAGAGCCGCGACCAGCTCCACCGCTGCCGCCGCCGCCTCCGCCACCTCCGCCGCCTCCGCCACCTCGGCCGCCTCCGCCACCTCCGCCGCCTCCGCCACCTCCGCCGCCTCCGCTCCCTCCGCCACTGCCGCCACCTCCTCCGCCTCCACTGCTACCACCGACACCTCCACCCTCGCCACCACTCCCACCACCACCCCCACCCCCTCCACTTCCTCCACCACCACCTCCACCGCCCCCGCCAGCCCCTCTAGCGCCCTTGCCCCCCTTGCCCTTGCCGGTGCGGCGTCTCCCGCTAGGGGTAGACGCAGCGCCGACCGACTCGAAACCAACGAGGTCGGCCGCAGCAGCAGAAGCAACAGAGGGCAAGTGGGGGGAAGGGGAACACCCCTCAAAGACGAGGGTGCGAGGGTCACCACGAGAGGCTCCTACAGCGACTATGCTCTTCTCTGCTGCTAGGAGGCGCTCCTCGAGGAGGTCAACGGTGAGTGTGGTGGGGCAAACTGAGAGGAAGTGGTCCTTTACTAAGCAAAGGGAGTCAGGGAGCCGGGTGACTATGTAGTAGAGGGTGATGTACATGGGGGGGGGGGTTCTTGGCACAGAACTCAGCAGGAATCGCAGCGCGGTAGCGAGTGTCACTAGTGCGAAGGTGCGTAATGAGGTCAGCGACTGTGGGAAAGGCAGCAAGGTCAGAGAAGAGGTACGGTAGCATGAGGCGGCTCAGCGCAGCAGTGGCAGGGGAAGAGTAGCGCGCAACTACAGCGTCGTACAAGGTTTTAGCACTCTTGTACTGGCTAAAGTGCGCACGCTCAGTGGTCGGTAAGTGGCGACGCATAGCAAGACGGGCAGCAGCATCGCGTGTGGCCCACTGTGAGCAAACAGTGCTGTCAGCAGTAGCAGGCGGGGCAGGAGAGGCACCAGAGGTGAGAGTCCGTCTGCCCTATCGCACTATAGGAACAGCTGGAGGTCATCGACCCAGACCTCAAAGTCAACAGCACGACCCTCAGCATCAAAGGTAAGGACACTGGGGGTAGCCATGACTGCAGTGGCCTAGCAGGGAGTGATCTCACCAGTCTGAGTAAGTAGGGCCGGGGCACGCCGTTAGGAACAGTAGCGGCTCAACGGCAGGGCGGCTGGGAGGCTCGGCTGCTAGGCGGCTCGGCGGCTCGGCGGCTCGGCTGCTGGGCGGCTCGGCGGCTCGGCTTCTGGGTGGCTTGGCAGCTCGACTGTTGGGCGGCTCGGCTGTCGGGCGGCTCGGCGGCTCGGTTGCTGGGCGGCTCGGCTGCTGGGCGGCTCGGCGGCTCGGCTGTTGGGTGGCTCAGCTGCTGGGCGGCTCGGTAGAGGCGGTGACGGGGCTGGTAGAGGCGGCGACGGGGCCGGCAGAGGTGGCGATGGGGCCGCTAGGGGCGGCGACGGGGCCGCGTAGGGAGGGGAGCGGCGACGGGGCCGCTAGGGGCGGCTACGGGGCCGCATAGGGGCGGCGACGGGGCCGCGTAGGGGCGGCGACGAGGCCGCGTAGTGGCGGCGACGGGGCCGCGAAGGGAGGGGAGCGGCGACGGGGCCGCTAGGGGCAGCGACGGGGCCGCGTAGGGGCGGCGACGAGGCCGCGTAGTGGCAGCGACGGGGCCGCGTAGGAAGGGGAGCGGCGACGGGGCCGCTAGGGGCGGCGACGGGGCCGCTAGGGGCGGCGACGGGGCCGCGTAGGGGCGGCGACGGGGCCGCGTAGGTAGAGAGGCGGCGACGGGGCCGCTAGGGGCGGCGACGGGGCCGCGGGGGGGGCGGCAACGGGGCCGTGTAGGGGCGGCGACGGGGCCGCGTAGGGGCGGCGACGGGGCCGGTAGGGGGCGGCGACGGGGCCGCTAGGGGCGGCGACGGGGCCGCGTAGGGGCGGCGACGAGGCCCCTAGGGGCCGCTAGGGGCCTAGAAGGGCGGCGAACAAGGCGCGCCTCGGGCAGGAGTGACTGAAGCTCCGTTCAGAAAAACAATTTCAGTGGTGGGCCCAAGGAAGCGTTCCCACTAGGGAACCTTCTCTATACCATGTGAGAAAAGAGGGATGAATGAACTAGCACAAGGTTGGGTACAAGTAGGAAACCCTAGGAAACTGTACCCCATAGAGAATGGGGCGGGGTGATGGAAGGAGGGAGAATGGGGCGGGGTGATGGAAGGAGGGAGAATGGTGCGGGATGATGGAAGGAGGGAGAATGGACCGGGTAGATGGAAGGAGGGAGAATAGGGCGGGGTGATGGAAAGCGGGAGAATGGGGCGGGGTGATGGAAAGCGGGAGAATGGGGCCGGTCGATGGAAACCAGGAGAACGGGGCGGGGTGGTGGAAAGCGGGAGAATGGGGCAGGGTGATGGAAAGCGGTAGAATGGGGCGGGGTGATGGAAAGCGGGAGAATAGGGTGGGGTGATAGAAAGCGGGAGAATGAGGCGGGGCGATGGAAAGCAGGAGAATGGGGCGGGGTGATGGAGGGAGGGAGAATGGGGCGGGATGATGGAAGGAGGGAGAATGAGGCGGGGTGATGAAAAGCGGGAGAATGGGGCAGGGTGATAGAAAGCGGGAGAATGGGGCGGGGTAATGGAAGGAGGGAGAATGGGCCGAAGTGATGGAAGGAGGGCCAATCGAGCGGGGTGATGGAAGGAGGAAGAATGGGGCGGGGTGATGGAAAGCGGGAAAATGGGGCGGGGTGATGGAAGGAGGGAGAATGGGGCGGGGTGATAGAAGGAGGGAGAATGGGGCAGGGTGATGGAAGGAGGGAGAATGGGGCGGGGTGATGGAAAGAGGGAGAATGGGGCGGGGTGATGGAAGGAGGGAGAATAAGGGCAGGGTGATGGAATGTGGGAGAATGGGGCGGGGTGATGGAAAGCGGGAGAATAGGTTGGGGTGATGGAAAGCAGGAGAATGGGGCGGAGTGATGGAAGGAAAGAGAATGGGGCGGGGTGATGGAAGGAGGGAGAATGGGGCCGGGTGATGGAAAGCGGGAGAATGGGGCGGGGTGATGGAAAGCGGGAGAATGGGGCGTGATGATGGAATGTGAGAGAATGGGGCGGGGTGATGGATAGTGGGAGAATTGGGCGTGGTGATGAAAAGCGGAAGAATGGGGCGGGGTGATGGAAAGCGGGAGAATAGGGCAGGGTGATGGAAAGCGGGAGAATGGGGCGGGGTGATGGAAAGCGAGAGAATGGGGCGGGGTGATGGAAAGCGGGAGAATGGGGCGGGGTTATGGAAAGAGGGAGAATGGGGCCGGGTGACAGAAAGAGGGAGAATGAGGCGGGGTGATGGAAAGCGGGAGAATGGGGCGGGGTGATGGAAAGCGGGAGAATGGGGCGGGGTGATGGAAAGAGGGAGAATGGGGCGGGGTGATGGAAAGAGGGAGAATGGGGCGGGGTGATGCAAAGCGGGAGAATGGGGCGGGTGATAGAAAGCGGGAGAATGGGGCGGTTGATGGAAAGCGGGAGAATGGGGCGGGGTGATGGAAAGCGGGAGAATGGGGCGGGATGATGGAAAGCGGGAGAATGGGGGAAGGTGATGGAAAGCGGGAGAATCGGGCGGGGTGATGGAAAGCGGGAGAATGGGGCGTGATGATGGAAAGCGGAAGAATGGGGCGGGTTGATGGATAGCGGGAGAATTGGGCGGGGTGATGGAAAGCGGGAGAATGGGGTGGGGTGATGGAAAGCGGGAGACTGGGGCGGGGTGATGGAAAGCGGGAGAATGGGGCGGGGTGATCGAAAGCGGGAGAATGGGGCGGGGTGATGGAAAGCGGGAGAATGGGGCGGGGTTATGGAAAGAGGGAGAATGGGGCGGGGTGACGGAAAGAGGGAGAATGGGGCAGGGTGATGGAAAAAGGGAGAATAGGGTGGGGTGACGGAAGGAGGGAGAATGGGGCGGGTGATGGAAAGCGGGAGAATGGGGCGGGTGATGGAAAGCGGGAGAATGGGGCGGGGTGATGGAAAGCGGGAGAATGGGGCGGGGTGATGGAAAGCGGGAGAATGGGGCGGGTGATAGAAAGCGGGAGAAAGTGGCGGTTGATGGAAAGCAGGAAAATGGGGCGGGGTGATGGAAAGCGGGAGAATGGGGCGGGGTGATGGAAAGCGGGAGAATGGGGCGGGGTGATGGAAAGCGGGAGAATGGGGCGGGGTGATGGAAAGCGGGAGAATGGGGCGGGGTGATGGAAAGCGGGAGAATGAGGCGGGGTTATGGAAAGAGGGAGAATGGGGCGGGGTGACGGAAAGAGGGAGAATGGGGCGGGGTGATGGAAAGCGGGAGAATGGGGCGTGGTGATGGAAAGCGGGAGAATTGGGCGGGGTGATGGAAAGAGGGAGAATGGGGCAGGGTGATGGAAAGAGGGAGAATGGGATGGGGTGATGGAAGGAGGGAGAATGGGGTAGGTGATGGAAAGCGGGAGAATGGGGCGGGTGATCGAAAGCAGGAGAATGGGGCGGGGTGATGCAAGGAGGGAGAATGGGGCGGGGTGATGGAAAGCGGGAGAATGGGGCGGGGTGATGGAAAGAGGGAGAATGGGGTGTGGTGATGGAAAGCAGGAGAATCGGGCGGGGTGATGGAAAGCAGGAGAATGGGGCGGGGTGATGGAAAGCGGGAGAATGGGGTGGGGTGATGGAAAGCGGGAGAATGGGGCGGGGTGATGGATAGCGGGAGAATAGGGCGGGGTGATGGAAAGCGGGAGAATGGGGCGGGGCGATGGAAAGTGGGAGAAGGGGGCGGGGTGATGGAGGGAGGGAGAATGGGGCGGGGTGATGGAAAGTGGGAGAATGGGGCGGGGTGATGGAGGGAGGGAGAATGGGGCGGGGTGATGGAAAGCGGGAGAATGGGGCGGGGTGATGGAAAGAGGGAGAATGGGGCGGGGTAATGGAAAGCGGGAGAATCGGGTGGGGTTATGGAAAGAGGGAGAATGGGGTGGGGTGACGGAAAGAGGGAGAATGGGGCGGGGTGATGGAAAGCGGGAGAATGGGGCGGGGTGATGGAATGCGGGAGAATGGGGCGGGGTGATGGAAAGAGGGCGAATGGGGCGGGGTCATGGAAAGAGGGAGAATAGGGTGGGGTGATGGAAAGCGGGAGAATGGGGCGGGTGACGAAAAGAGGGAGAATGGGGCGGGTGATGGAAAGCGGGAGAATGGGGCGGGGTGATGGAAAGCGGGAGAATTGGGCGGTGTGATGGAAAGAGGGAGAATGGGGCGGGGTCATGGAAAGAGGGAGAATAGGGTGGGGTGATGGAAAGCGGGAGAATGGGGCGGGTGATGGAAAGCGGGAGAATGGGGCGGGTGATGGAAAGCGGGAGAATGGGGCGGGGTGATGGAAAGCGGGAGAATGGGGCGGGGTGATGGAAAGCGGGAGAATTGGGCGGGGTGATGGAAAGAGGGAGAATGGGGTAGGTGATGGAAAGCGGGAGAATGGGGCGGGTGATCGAAAGCAGGAGAATGGGGCGGGGTGATGGAAGGAGGGAGAATGGGGCGGGGTGATGGAAAGCGGGAGAATTGGGCGGGGTGATGGAAAGAGGGAGAATGGGGTAGGTGATGGAAAGCGGGAGAATGGGGCGGGTGATCGAAAGCAGGAGAATGGGGCGGGGTGATGGAAGGAGGGAGAACGGGGCTGGGTGATGGAAAGAGGGAGAATGGGGTGTGGTGATGGAAAGCGGGAGAATCGAGCGGGGTGATGGAAAGCGGGAGATTGGGGTGGGGTGATGGAAAGCGGGAGAATGGGGCGGGGTGATGGATAGCGGGAGAATAGGGCGGGGTGATGGAAAGCGGGAGAATGGGGCGGGGCGATGGAAAGTGTGAGAATGGGGCGGGGTGATGGAGGGAGGGAGAATGGGGCGGGGTGATGGAAAGCGGGAGAATGGGGCGGGGTGATGGAAAGAGGGAGAATGGGGCGGGGTAATGGAAAGCGGGAGAATCGGGTGGGGTTATGGAAAGAGGGAGAATGGGGCGGGGTGACGGAAAGAGGGAGAATGGGGTGGGGTGATGGAAAGCGGGAGAATGGGGCGGGGTGATGGAATGCGGGAGAATGGGGCGGGGTGATGGAAAGAGGGCGAATGGGGCGGGGTCATGGAAAGAGGGAGAATGGGGCGGGGTTATGGAAAGAGGGAGAATAGGGTGGGGTGATGGAAAGCGGGAGAATGGGGTGGGTGATGGAAAGCGGGAAAATGGGGCGGGTGATGGAAAGCGGGAGAATGGAGCGGGGTGATGGAAAGCGGGAGAATTGGGCGGGGTGATGGAAAGAGGAAGAATAGGGCAGGGTGATGGAAAGCGGGAGAATGGGGCGGGTGACGAAAACAGGGAGAATGGGGCGGGTGATGGAAAGCGGGAGAATGGGGCGGGGTGATGGAAAGCGGGAGAATTGGGCGGGGTGATGGAAAGAGGGAGAATGGGGCGGGGTCATGGAAAGAGGGAGAATAGGGTGGGGTGATGGAAAGCGGGAGAATGGGGCGGATGATGGAAAGCGGGAGAATGGGGCGGGTGATGGAAAGCGGGAGAATGGGGCGGGGTGATGGAAAGCGGGAGAATTGGGCGGGGTGATGGAAAGAGGGAGAATAGGGCAGGGTGATGGAAAGAGGGAGAATGGGCTGGGATGATGGAAGGAGGGAGAATGGGGCAGGTGATGGAAAGCGGGAGAATGGGGTGGGTGATAAAAAGCGGAAGAATGGGGCGGGGTGATGGAAAGCGGGAGAATGGGGCTGGGTGATGGAAAGAGGGAGAATGGGGCGGGGTGATGGAAAGCGGGAGAATCGGGCGGGGTGATGGAAAGCGGGAGAATGGGGCGGCGTGATGGAAAGCGGGAGAATGGGGTGGGGTGATGGAAAGCGGGAGAATGGGGCGGGGTGATTGAAAGCGGGAAAATAGGGCGGGGTGATGGAAAGCGGGAGAATGGGGCGAGGCGATGGAAAGCGGGAGAATGGGGCGGGGTGATGGAGGGAGGGAGAATGGGGCGGGGTGATGGAAAGCAGGAGAATGGGGCGGGGTGATGGAAAGTGGGAGAATGGGGCGAGGTGATGGAAAGCGAGAGAATGGGGCGGGGTTATGGAAAGAGGGAGAATGGGGCGGGGTGACGGAAAGAGGGAGAATGGGGCGGGGTGATGGAAAGCGGGAGAATGGGGCGGGGTGATGGAAAGTGGGAGAATTGGGCGGGGTGATGGAAAGAGGGAGAATGGGGCGGGGTCATGGAAAGAGGGAGAATAGGGTGGAGTGATGGAAAGCGGGAGAATGGGGCGGGTGATGGAAAGTGGGAGAATGGGGCGGGTGATGGAAAGCGGAAGAATGGGGCGGGGTGATGGAAAGCGGGAGAATTGGGCGGGGTGATGGAAAGAGGGAGAATGGGGCAGGGTGATGGAAAGAGGGAGAATGGGGTGGGGTGATGGAAGGACGGAGAATGGGGCAGGTGATGGAAAGCGGGAGAATGGGGCGGGTGATGGAAAGCGGGAGAATGGGGCGGGGTGATGGAAAGCGGGAGAATGGGGCGGGGTGATGGAAAGAGGGAGAATGGGGCGGGGTGATGGAAAGCGGGAGAATCGGGCTGGGTGATGGAAAGCGGGAGAATGGGGTGGGGTGATGGAAAGCGGGAGAATGGGGCCGGGTGATTGAAAGCGGGAGAATAGGGCGGGGTGATGGAAAGCGGGAGAAAGGGGCAGGGCGATGGAAAGCGGGAGAATGGGGCGGGGTGATGGAGGGAGGGAGAATGGGGCGGGGTGATGGAGAGCGGGAGAATGGGCCGGGGTGATGGAAAGCAGGAGAATGGGGCGGGGTGATGGAAAGCGGGAGAATGGGGCGAGGTGATGGAAAGCGAGAGAATGGGGCGGGGTTATGGAAAGAGGGAGAATGGGGCGGGGTGACGGAAAGAGGGAGAATGGGGCAGGGTGATGGAAAGCGGGAGAATCGGGCGGGGTGATGGAAAGCCGGAGAATGGAGCGGGGTGATGGAAAGCGGGAGAATGGGGTGGGGTGATGGAAAGCGGGAGAATGGGGTGGGGTGATGGAAAGCGGGAGAATAGGGCGGGGTGATGGAAAGCGGGAGAATGGGGCGGGGCGATGGAAAGTGGGAGAACGGGGCGGGGTGATGGAGGGAGGGAGAATCGGGCGGGGTGATGGAAAGCGGGAGAATGGGGCGGGGTGATGGAAAGCGAGAGAATGGGGCGGGGTGATGGAAAGAGGGAGAATGGGGCGGGGTGATGGAAAGAGGGAGAATGGGGTGTGGTGATGGAAAGCGAGAGAATCGGGCGGGGTGATGGAAAGAGGGAGAATGGGGTGTGGTGATGGAAAGCGGGAGAATCGGGCGGGGTGATGGAAAGCGGGAGAATGGGGCGGGGTGATGGAAAGCGGGAGAATGGGGTGGGGTGATGGAAAGAGGGAGAATGGGGCGGGGTGATGGATAGCGGGAGAATAGGGCGGGGTGATGGAAAGCGGGAGAATGGGGCGGGGCGATGGAAAGTGGGAGAAGGGGGCGGGGTGATGGAGGGAGGGAGAATGGGGCGGGGTGATGGAAAGTGGGAGAATGGGGCGGGGTGATGGAGGGAGGGAGAATGGGGCGGGGTGATGGAAAGCGGGAGAATGGGGCGGGGTGATGGAAAGAGGGAGAATGGGGCGGGGTAATGGAAAGCGGGAGAATCGGGTGGGGTTATGGAAAGAGGGAGAATGGGGTGGGGTGACGGAAAGAGGGAGAATGGGGCGGGGTGATGGAAAGCGGGAGAATGGGGCGGGGTGATGGAATGCGGGAGAATGGGGCGGGGTGATGGAAAGAGGGCGAATGGGGCGGGGTCATGGAAAGAGGGAGAATAGGGTGGGGTGATGGAAAGCGGGAGAATGGGGCGGGTGACGAAAAGAGGGAGAATGGGGCGGGTGATGGAAAGCGGGAGAATGGGGCGGGGTGATGGAAAGCGGGAGAATTGGGCGGTGTGATGGAAAGAGGGAGAATGGGGCGGGGTCATGGAAAGAGGGAGAATAGGGTGGGGTGATGGAAAGCGGGAGAATGGGGCGGGTGATTGAAAGCGGGAGAATGGGGCGGGTGATGGAAAGCGGGAGAATGGGGCGGGGTGATGGAAAGCGGGAGAATTGGGCGGGGTGATGGAAAGAGGGAGAATGGGGTAGGTGATGGAAAGCGGGAGAATGGGGCGGGTGATCGAAAGCAGGAGAATGGGGCGGGGTGATGGAAGGAGGGAGAATGGGGCTGGGTGATGGAAAGAGGGAGAATGGGGTGTGGTGATGGAAAGCGGGAGAATCGAGCGGGGTGATGGAAAGCGGGAGAATGGGGTGGGGTGATGGAAAGCGGGAGAATGGGGCGGGGTGATGGATAGCGGGAGAATAGGGCGGGGTGATGGAAAGCGGGAGAATGGGGCGGAGCGATGGAAAGTGGGAGAATGGGGCGGGGTGATGGAGGGAGGGAGAATGGGGCGGGGTGATGGAAAGCGGGAGAATGGGGCGGGGTGATGGAAAGAGGGAGAATGGGGCGTGGTAATGGAAAGCGGGAGAATCGGGTGGGGTTATGGAAAGAGGGAGAATGGGACGGGGTGACGGAAAGAGGGAGAATGGGGTGGGGTGATGGAAAGCGGGAGAATGGGGCAAGGTGATGGAATGCGGGAGAATGGGGCGGGGTGATGGAAAGAGGGCGAATGGGGCGGGGTCATGGAAAGAGGGAGAATGGGGCGGGGTTATGGAAAGAGGGAGAATAGGGTGGGGTGATGGAAAGCGGGAGAATGGGGTGGGTGATGGAAAGCGGGAGAATGGGGCGGGTGATGGAAAGCGGGAGAATGGAGCGGGGTGATGGAAAGCGGGAGAATTGGGCGGGGTGATGGAAAGAGGGAGAATAGGGCAGGGTGATGGAAAGCGGGAGAATGGGGCGGGTGACGAAAACAGGGAGAATGGGGCGGGTGATGGAAAGCGGGAGAATGGGGCGGGGTGATGGAAAGCGGGAGAATTGGGCGGGGTGATGGAAAAAGGGAGAATGGGGCGGGGTCATGGAAAGAGGGAGAATAGGGTGGGGTGATGGAAAGCGGGAGAATGGGGCGGATGATGGAAAGCGGGAGAATGGGGCGGGTGACGGAAAGCGGGAGAATGGGGCGGGGTGATGGAAAGCGGGAGAATTGGGTGGGGTGATGGAAAGAGGGAGAATAGGGCAGGGTGATGGAAAGAGGGAGAATGGGCTGGGATGATGGAAGGAGGGAGAATGGGGCAGGTGATGGAAAGCGGGAGAATGGGGTGGGTGATAAAAAGCGGGAGAATGGGGCGGGGTGATGGAAAGCGGGAGAATGGGGCTGGGTGATGGAAAGAGGGAGAATGGGGCGGGGTGATGGAAAGCGGGAGAATCGGGCGGGGTGATGGAAAGCGGGAGAACGGGGCGGCGTGATGGAAAGCGGGAGAATGGGGTGGGGTGATGGAAAGCGGGAGAATGGGGCGGGGTGATTGAAAGCGGGAGAATAGGGCTGGGTGATGGAAAGCGGGAGAATGGGGCGAGGCGATGGAAAGCGGGAGAATGGGGCGGGGTAATGGAGGGAGGGAGAATGGGGCGGGGTGATGGAAAGCGGGAGAATGGGGCGGGGTGATGGAAAGTGGGAGAATGGGGCGAGGTGATGGAAAGCGAGAGAATGGGGCGGGGTTATGGAAAGAGGGAGAATGGGGCGGGGTGACGGAAAGAGGGAGAATGGGGCGGGGTGATGGAAAGCGGGAGAATGGGGCGGGGTGATGGAAAGTGGGAGAATTGGGCGGGGTGATGGAAAGAGGGAGAATGGGGCGGGGTCATGGAAAGAGGGAGAATAGGGTGGAGTGATGGAAAGCGGGAGAATGGGGCGGGTGATGGAAAGTGGGAGAATGGGGCGGGTGATGGAAAGCGGAAGAATGGGGCGGGGTGATGGAAAGCGGGAGAATTGGGCGGGGTGATGGAAAGAGGGAGAATGGGGCAGGGTGATGGAAAGAGGGAGAATGGGGTGGGGTGATGGAAGGACGGAGAATGGGGCAGGTGATGGAAAGCGGGAGAATGGGGCGGGTGATGGAAAGCGGGAGAATGGGGCGGGGTGATGGAAAGCGGGAGAATGGGGCGGGGTGATGGAAAGAGGGAGAATGGGGCGGGGTGATGGAAAGCGGGAGAATCGGGCGGGGTGATGGAAAGCGGGAGAATGGGGTGGGGTGATGGAAAGCGGGAGAATGGGGCCGGGTGATTGAAAGCGGGAGAATAGGGCGGGGTGATGGAAAGCGGGAGAAAGGGGCAGGGCGATGGAAAGCGGGAGAATGGGGCGGGGTGATGGAGGGAGGGAGAATGGGGCGGGGTGATGGAGAGCGGGAGAATGGGCCGGGGTGATGGAAAGCAGGAGAATGGGGCGGGGTGATGGAAAGCGGGAGAATGGGGCGAGGTGATGGAAAGCGAGAGAATGGGGCGGGGTTATGGAAAGAGGGAGAATGGGGCGGGGTGACGGAAAGAGGGAGAATGGGGCAGGGTGATGGAAAGCGGGAGAATCGGGCGGGGTGATGGAAAGCCGGAGAATGGAGCGGGTTGATGGAAAGCGGGAGAATGGGGTGGGGTGATGGAAAGCGGGAGAACGGGGTGGGGTGATGGAAAGCGGGAGAATAGGGCGGGGTGATGGAAAGCGGGAGAATAGGGCGGGGCGATGGAAAGTGGGAGAATGGGGCGGGGTGATGGAGGGAGGGAGAATGGGGCGGGGTGATGGAAAGCGGGAGAATGGGGCGGGGTGATGGAAAGCGGGAGAATGGGGCGGGGTGATGGAAAGCGGGAGAATGGGGCGGGGTGATGGAAAGCGAGAGAATGGGGCGGGGTGATGGAAAGCGGGAGAACGGGGCGGGGTGATGGAAAGCGGGAGAATCGGGCGGGGTGATGGAAAGCGGGAGAATGGGGCGGGGTGATGGAAAGCGGGAGAACGGGCGGGGTGATGGAAAGAGGGAGAATGGGGCGGGGTGATGGAAAGCGGGAGAATGGGGCGGGGTGATGGAAAGCGGGAGAATGGGGCGGGGTGATGGAAAGCGGGAGAATGGGGCGGGGTGATGGAAAGCGGGAGAATGGGGCGGTTGATGGAAAGCAGGGTGATGGAAAGCGGAAGAATGGGGCGGGGTGATGGAAAGCGGGAGAATGGGGCGGGGTATTGGAAAGCGGGAGAATCAAGCGGGATGATGGAGAGCGGGAGAATGGGGCAGGGTGATGCAAAGCGGGAGAATCGGGCGGGGTGATGGAAAGCGGGAGAATGGGGCATGATGATGGAAAGCAGGAGAATGGGGTGGGGTGATGGAAAGAGGGAGAATCGGGCGGGGTGATGGAAAGCGGGAGAATGGGGCGGGGTTCGGGAAAGCGGGAGAATGGGGCGGGGTGATGGAAAGCGGGAGAATGGGGCGGGGTGATGGAAAGCGGGAGAATGGGGCGGGGTGATGGAAAGCGGGAGAATGGGGCGGGGTGCTGGAAAGCGGGAGAATGGAGCGGGGTGATGGAAAGCGGGAGAATGAGGCGGGGTGATGGAAAGCGGGAGAATGGGGCGGGGTGCGGGAAAGCGGGAGAATGGGGCGGGGTGATGGAAAGCGGGAGAACGGGCGGGGTGATGGAAAGAGGGAGAATGGGGCGGGGTGATGGAAAGCGGGAGAATGGGGCGGGGTGATGGAAAGCGAGAGAATGGGGCGGGGTGATGGAAAGCGGGAGAATGGGGCGGGGTGATGGAAAGCGGGAGAATCGGGCGGGGTGATGGAAAGCGGGAGAATGGGGCATGATGATGGAAAGCGGGAGAATGGGGCGGGGTGATGGATAGCGGGAGAATTGGGCGGGGTGATGGAAAGCGGGAGAATGGGGCGGGGTGATGGAAAGCGGGAGAATGGGGCGAGGTGATGGAAAGCGGGAGAATGGGGCGGGGTGATGGAAAGCGGGAGAATGGGGCGGGGTGATGGAAAGCGGGAGAATGGGGCGGGGTTATGGAAAGCAGGAGAATGGGGCGGGGTTATGGAAAGAGGGAGAACGGGGTGGGGTGACGGAAAGAGGGAGAATGGGGCGGGAGAATGGGGCGGGGTGATGGAAAGCGGGAGAATTGGGCGGGGTGATGGAAAGAGGGAGAATGGGGCAGGGTCATGGAAAGAGGGAGAATGGGACAGGGTGATGGAAAGTGGGAGAATGGGGCGGGTGATGGAAAGCGGGAGAATGGGACGGTTGATGGAAAGCGGGAGAATGGGGCGGGGTGTTGGAAAGTGGAAGAATGGGGCGGGGTGATGGAAAGCGGGAGATTGGGGCGGGGTATTGGAAAGCGGGAGAATGAAGCGGGGTGATGGAGAGTGGGAGAATGGGGCGGGGTGATCGAAAGCGGGAGAATCAGGCGGGGTGATGGAAAGAGGGAGAATCGGGCGGGGTGATGGAAAGCGGGAGAATCGGGCGGGGTTCGGGAAAGCGGGAGAATGGGGCAGGGTGATGGAAAGCGGGAGAATGGGGCGGGGTGATGGAAAGCGGGAGAATGGGGAGGGGTGATGGAAAACGGGAGAATGGGGCGGGGTGCTGGAAAGCGGGAGAATGGAGTGTGGTGATGGAAAGGGGAGAATGAGGGGGGGATGGAAAGCGGAGAATGGGGCGGGGTGCTCCCTGACTCCCTTCGCCTAGTCAGGGACCACTTCCTCTCAGTTTGCCGCACCACACTCACCGTTGACCTCCTCGAGGAGCGCCTCCTAGCAGTAGAGAAGAGCATAGTTGCTGTAGGAGCCTCTCGTGGCGACCCTCGCACCCCCGTCTTTGAGGGGTGTTCCCCCTCCCCCCTTTTGCCCTCAGTTGCTTCTGCTGCTGCGGCCGACCTCGTTGGCTTCGAGTCGGTCGGCGTTGCGTTTGCCCCTAGCGGGAGACGCCGCACCGGCAAGGGCAAGGGGGGCAAGGGCGCTGGAGGGGCTGGCGGGGGCTGTGGAGGTGGTGGTGGAGGGGGTGGGGGTGGTGGTGGGAGTGGTGGCGGGGGTGGAGGTGTCGGTGGCAGCTGTGAAGGCTGAGGAGGCGGTGGCGGTGGCGGAGGGAGCGGAGGCGGCGGAGGTGGCGGAGGCTGCGGAGGTGGCGGAGGCGGCGGCGGCAGCGGTGGAGCTGGTCGCGGCTCTGCGCAGAGGAGTGGTTCCGGTGGTGGTCCGCGCCAGCAGCAGCAGCGCAGTCGTGAGACCCCGTCCCCCCAGCATCTTCGTGAGTGGTACGCTGGGCGTCAGCGAGGTGGGGGTACTGGTCCCTGCACCTACGTCCTCCGTACCGGCGACCGCGCTGGTGAGCAGTGCGGGGGCCCGCACTCCACCCAGCGCTGCTTCGGCCGCCCGACGGACGCGTGGCGTCACCAGTTCCCTGACGCCACTGAGATCCCTCACTGGGGAGAGCTGTCTAGGGTGGGGGTTGCTATCTTTGATCTTGATTATGATGCGATTCTTGCTGCCATGTATGCTGTGTCTACTAGTGATGAGGGTGACTGTTACCTGTATGTTCTGCCTGACCCGGGCATTGAGGCTGATGCTCTAGGTGCTGGTGAGGCTGCTGCTCTAGGTGCTAGTGCGTCTACTGCCCCAGGTGCTGGTGAGTCTGCTCTCTCAGGTACCACGTCGGCTCAGGCCTTACACACCCTTGACTCGGGTGCTTCCCGCTCCTTCTTTCGAGACCGCACCACGCTTACGCTGCTTAGTCGGCCGGTTGCGGTCTCCCTGGCGGACCCCTCTGGGGGTCCTGTCCTTGCTAGCTTCTCCACTGTCTTACCGTGCCCGGCAGCCCCCTCTGGCACCCTGTCAGGTCTCTACCTCCCCTCGTTCTCTACGAACTTGGTGAGTGGAGCTGATCTACAGGATAGGGGGGTTGACCAGTTCACTCCTGCGAGTCAGCGGGTAACCCACTACACGTGTGCTCGGACGGGCCGACACTTGGCCACGTTCACCCGTCGGCTGGGGTCGAGCCTGTACACACTGACTACTGAGTCTCCTCCGGTTGCTGAGTATGGTCAGGTAGCTGCGTCGAGTCAGGTGTTTGCTGCAGCGTCCAGGTCTGGTCCTGAGTCTGGTCCCTGCTCGTGTCGTCTCCTGTCCCACCAGACTCTCCTTTGGCACCACCGCCTTGGTCACCCCTCCCTGCCTCGTCTCCAAGGCATGGCCTCCCGTGTCCTTGTCTCTGGTCTCCCCCGGTCCCTCCCTCCCCTACCTCCGGGGCCTTCCCCTACCTGCGTTCCCTACGTCGAGGGGCGACAGCGCGCCGCCCCTCACTCCTCCGAGTTTCCTCCGATAGAGGCTCCGCTGCAGACTCTTCACATGGACGTGTGGGGCCCCGCCCGCGTCCATGGCCAGGGTCACGAGCGTTACTTCCTGTTGGTGGTTGAAAACTACTCACTTTACACCACGGTGTTCCCCTTGCGCAGCAAGGGTGACGTCACTGAGGTGTTGATCGACTAGATCCGCGCAGCTCGTCTCCAGCTCAGAGAGAGTTTCGGCTCGGACTTTCCTGTTCTGCGTCTGCACTCTGACAGAGGCGGAGAGTTTTCCTCTGCCTGTCTGGGAGCCTTCTGTCGTGCACAGTGCATCCGCCAGACCTTCACGCTTCCGGCCTCTCCACAGCAAAATGGGATTGCTGAGCGCCGCATTGGCATGGTCATGGACGTCGCTCGTACGTCCATGATCCATGCGGCTGCCCCCCATTTTCTGTGGCCGTTTGCGGTTCAGTACGCAGCGCATCAGCTCAACCTTCAGCCCCGGGTCTCCTTGCCAGAGACCTCCCCCATCTTGCGGTGGACCGGGAAGGTTGACCTCCCCCATGGTGTTGAGCCTGGGAGCGCTGAGCCTGGGGGTGCGGAGCCTGGGGGTGCTGGGTCTGCTCGTGTGGCCTCTCGCGGTGCTTCGTCGAGGCGGGAGCTGCTCTCTCCGCAGGAGATGCGCGAGTGGTTTGCCCGGCGCTGGAGCCGTGCTGCTGGAGCTGGAGGTACTACTGTTGCTGCAGGTCCCGGAGGTGCTCGTACTGGCGGTACTGGAGCTGCTGGGACTGGGGGTGCTGCTGGGGCTGCTGGAGTTAGTCCTGCTGGCTGTACTGCTGGCGGTACTGGAGCTGCCGGTCATGCTGGAGTTGGTGCTGCTGGAGCTGCTGGAGCTGGAGCTGCTGGGGGTGTTGGCGCTGGTGGTTCTGCTGGCGCTGGTGCGTCTGAGGGTGCTGGAGTTGGCGCTGTTCGAGCTGGAGGTGCTGCTGGCGCTGGTGCTGCCGCTGGGGGTACTGGTGCTGTCCCTGCTCGTTCTGGAGGCGCTGCGCGGCCGAGGCCGTACTTCACTCCGCTCCTTGAGCACGTTCTTGGTCTCCCGCCCTCTACTGGTCCTACTCCTCCCTTAGAGGGTCCACAGCCTATCCAGTCGCGGTCACAGCTACAGCCCGCCTCCCCCCTACCTGCTCCTTCTCCCTACACTGGTCCTACTGGAGGTCTTGCTGAGCGTCGTGAGCCTGCGTCTCGTCCTGCGTCGCCTGTTCGTGCTGCTCGCACTAGTGGTCGTGCTCTCCGTCTGCGTCCTCCTGCGGTCCCAGGCACACACCAGATGGCACTGCGTCCTTCCACTGCTCCTCAGCGTGTCCCGTTGCCGTCTCCTCCAGAGTCCTCTCTTCCTGTTCTAGCTGACCCGGAGTCTGACTCTCTTCGTGCTGCCAGTCCTACTGTCACGCGTCTCCTTACTACTATTGTCACTGACCCTCCCTTTGAGTCCACTGCTGCGTCGGCCCTAGTTGCTGAGCTTGTCGACTTTGCTGCTCGTGTTCGTCTGGACTACGCTACTAGTCTTGTTGCTGAGTCTGAGTCTCTCTGTCCTCCGTCCGTCGGAGGTGAGTGTGCTCTTAGCACGGACGTCCTTGAGGACAGGCAGGAGGAGTTCCAGTGTTTTTCTGCTGCTTTGCCTCATCTCGTGTCCACGCTGATTGCCCCTGAGGGAGACCCGGATGCACCAAACATCCCGACTCCTCAATCGTACGCTGAGGCGATCGAGGGTCCCTACTCCTCACAGTGGCAGTCAGCCATGGATGCAGAGATGGCTTCCTGGAAGTCCACAGGCACCTACGTCGACGAGGTTCCCCCACCTGGGGCGAACATCGTCAGTGGTATGTGGATTTTCAGGGTGAAGCGGCCGCCGGGTTCTCCGCCTGTCTTCAAGGCGCGTTACGTGGCGCGAGGCTTCAGTTAGCGGCAGGGAGTTGACTACTTTCAGACCTTCTCTCCCACCCCGAAGATGACCACTCTTTGGGTGCTGCTGCACA